AAAAGAAATAATTAAGTGCCTAAGGTATTCACAAACTCTACTTGGCTCTTCGTATAGTCTATTTCATTTCAATCCTCACTAAAAATTCACTATCTGTATTATTGTTTTTATGTATGTATGTATGTATGTATGTATGCACATGTGCACTTATTTATTTATGTATTTTATTTAGAAGTACAGTCCTAGAGACCGAGACAGGACCACTAAGCTCACTCTTGCAATCCTGCGACGTCCTTGCAGGGGGCTGGGATTCCAGGGTGCACTGCCACAGAATTGGAGAGGATCCTTTTGTTTTGGCGCTCACTGGTTCCATATCATATTTACAGGCAGAAAGTAGCTGCAGAGTGTGAAATCAGAAACATCTCTGGAAAAATACTTCCTTGATGGGTTTTGTTATTAGAGTCGTGTGCTTTGGTACAGACATGACATGTAAATGTTCCTGAACTCTTTAGCTCAGCTGAGGGGGTGCTGGGATGGGAAAGCCCTGGGGGAAATGAAGGACAAGAGGGAGTGGAGTAGACTGGGTTTCCCTGTGGTGAGGAAGGCCAGCGGCACTCACTGACCAGGGTGGGCAGTTGGTGGTGGGCAACTTCAACTGTAAATGGTCCCCAGCACGTTGGCCAGTCTCTGTGTAAGCTCTGTGTGAGACAGCTGCTGTAACTGCCCTGGCTCTGCTGCCAGTGACTACAGCCAGTACTGTTTTCTATTAAGCTGGGTGGGAAAGCAGAGAGGGCCTTTAGCCCTGAGGGCTCCAGCACTGCCACAGAAGGCTCTTTTCCCCGGAGGTAGTGTGGACTATGCTTAGTCCGTGCTACTAGAACAAAATGTCATAGACTGTGTGCTTCTTCCTTTCTTTCTTCCTTTCTTTCTTCCTTTCTTTCTTTTTGTGGTACTAGAGATTGAACTCAGGACCTCACACTTGCCAGGCAGGTGCTTATACCACTGAGCTATCTCCCCAGCCCTCACTGTGTATTGGATATAGAAAAGGTTATTGGGCCAAGGGTACAGCTCTTACCTGCCCATGTGCAAGGACCTGGGTTCCACCCACAGCACTGCAAATTTTTTTTTTCTTTTTAATTCTAGAGGCTGAGAATTTTGAGGGCATGATGCCAGCTTCTGGAAAGAGACTTTGTGCCCAAGGGGAGCCTGCTCTTATAACAAATCCACTCCCATGATAACTAACCCACTCCTCTATAGCAAGGCCTGCCACCCCTGAAATGTCACTTTGTCAATTAAATTTCAAAATGAGTTTTGACTGAGCAGGGTGGCCCATGCCTGTCATCTAAGCACTCTGGAGGCTGATGCAAGAGAATTGCTGAGAGTTTGCACCCTGCCTGAGCTACACAGTGAGTTCAAGCCTGATCTGGAATACAAAGTGAGGTGCTGTCTCAAAAACCAAAACAAAATAGGCCAGCCAAATAGCTCAGGGGATTAAAGTGCCTGCTTAAGCAGATGCAGGGGCTGGAAGTTCGATTCCCAGGCCTGCTGTGCCAGCCCTACCCCCAGGGCACGCTGAGACAGCGATTGAGACTGGGCGTGGTGGTGCATGCCTGTAATCCCAGCACTTGGGAGGCTGTAAACAGGAAGATCACTATGAATCCGATCTACACAGTGAGACCCTGTACACTCTATACACCCTGCCCTAAATACAAAATAAATCAATAAAAACAAAAGAAAAAACAAAATGTGCAAACAACAACAAGCATCTTGGAGGGACACTTAAACCATAGCAGGATGCATCCTTCTTCAATTTCTCAGGCAGGAAAATCTACTACAGTTCATCTAGTTATCCAGAGGAAACACTGAAGTGCAGCCAGCCGCGGCAGAGTGAGGTGTGCAGAGGGGGTGGCTGCGGGATGAAGGCTAAGGAAACGCTGTTCCTCTTGCAGGTTTCTCTGCCGGAGCATCCTCACCAACGGCCGAGGGCGCAGCCTTGTGTATAAGCTGTCAAAAGACACAGACATGAGGATCATGGTCCAGGGAGGCAGGTTCCTTCTGGTGTGTTTCTGTTTCTCCCATTGTGCTTTAGGGCATCGTGCAGATGTCTATATTTTTAAAAAGCTTAGTAAAATTTCTGCTGGGATCGCATAATGTCCATAAAACACGCCAGGGAGGAAGTGGAAGCTTGCCCTCCCAGCTAGCGCTTCTGTTGCTCCTTCACCTATTAGAGCCTTTTTATGTTGCCTAATAGAAAGGCTCATCATGAAATCTGAACACGTCTCACAAACTCTCACGTCATTAATTCTTATTTGTGAATGAAATGTCCTTTGTTGTTCTATTTCCTGTTATACCCTTGCCAAATAATAGAAATGTGTTTGGGTATTGTTTATTTCCTTTTCCATTTTATTATCTTATCAGCTTTTCTTGTCAAATTCCATCACAATTGTAAAGTTCATGATTAGCTAGGTTTTTAAAAATAATTATTTATGAAAGAGAACTATCCAGCGAATTGGATATCTTAAGAGTTAAAATAACACCCGAGGCAGATGGAACCCTTCATGCCCCACTGTTGTGGTGGTGCCACCTGGACACTGGGTTCTGATAAATGGGGGTAGCAGGGCCTGCATAGGCAGGGGGGCCCAGATGTATAATAAACATCTCTGTAATCCCAGCACTCTGTAATCCTGGAAACACAGGATTATCTAAGCGTGAAGCCGCTCCCTGTCACTGCTAGTACTG